ACCCATGGCCTTGGTGTTATCAGCACCGCACTCTCCCGAGTGAGCCACGGGCCGGCCCTCACATTCTATATTGTTTTTGCATTTTAAAAAAATAACAGAAAAGGTGATTGCTTGAAAGGAATTTACATATGTAAATATACAAATATTTTGTGTAATTTATTCTATTCACTGAATCGACATGAAGTAGTAATATCTCATGTAGGAGGATTTAAAATAATTCTGTTGGTACATTGTTAAGTGACTAAGGGCTCAGCATTTGGTGATAGATACTTTACTGTGTAATTTTTGGTATTATTCCTAAATTCAGGCCTTTCATTATTACAGCATATTTTCCAAGATTAAGAAATAACATATGAAACTAGTTGCTTTTTTTATCTTTCTTTCAGATTGCTCTGAATGTTTCAGGAAAAGGCGATAGTTTGGCATCATGGGATGGTATTTTGGACCTTCCAGAACAGAACAGTATTCACAAGGATTGCCTACAGTTTATTGGTAAGTTAATAATCATTTCCAAGAAGGGAAAAATTTTGGAAATAATTTTTGGGTGAAGTCACTCTTTAATAGAATTATCTTCTTATAATTTGTTATACTATGTTGAATTTATAGGGAGCTTGTAAATAGTTTTAGAACTGTTCTTTGGAAATTCTCATGAAATAATGTCTAATAATTTTAAGAGAGAGAGCCTAGTTTTTGCCATTTCTTTGCATTATATATTTGCTTTTTCATGTACTTTTACAGTTTTGTTGCAGTTTTAAACCTGGTTTGTGTAAAACTGAAGACCATATGGTTGTATGCAGTCCTTAAAGGGGGCTGTGTTCCAGAAGCTTATCTATAAATTATAGTTTTTTTGTCTCTTTCCTTTCTCTCAAGGGACTAGATAAGAAAACACATACTTAAGTGAAATTGATTGTTATTTTAAGTTTTCTTTTCTTTAAACAACTATCTTCCTTAATGCTAAAAACAAGAATATTATAAAGAGCTTTGACTATGTTTTTTTCTTGGGTTTTGGGTCTGTGAACCAATAATTATTAAAGTAAGTATAAGGAAAAATGTGTTTCATGAAGTTTTACTTTGCCTTTGCCATACCTATGTTAAATGCACAAACATAGTATTGGATATTTGTAAACAAGTGTTAGGTGCAATAACTGAGCCTTTAACAGGCCCTTGATAACTTTATTTTGACACTTATTTTCTAGACCAGCTTTCAGTGCCAGAGGAGAAGGCAGCAGAATTACTTTTGGATATTGAATCTGTAATTACCTTTTATTGTAAATCACGTAACATTAAATATAGCACATCCCTTAGCTGGATACATCTACTCAAACCATTGGTGCATCTTCAACTGCCACGCAGTGATTTATACAACTGCTTTTATGCTATCATGAATAAGTACATTCCCAGGTAAGATATGATTTAATTTTTATGGTTTTTAAAAGTGAATAAAGGTCTAGTTTGCTTTAACTAAAGTTATTAGATTTACTTTGGTGGTAAAGTAAAAGGTTCAAATAATTTTTAAGGTTGTTTCAATCATAATTGTTATTTGAATTTATTTTTGTTGTTATAAGCATTATTGAAAGGATTCTTTAGTAAAGAATTTATGTTTCTTAAATGGTGGTTACCAGGTCAGCGTGGGGGGAAGGAAATAGAAAATATGCTGGATATGTAGGATGAACAAGATGGAAGATCTGATGTACAACATGAGGACTGTAGTTAATAACAGTGTACTCTGTTCAGGATTTTTTTTTTTTGTACTCAGGATTTTTGCTAAATGAGTAGGTTCTAGCTGCTGTTGCCACAGAGAGGGAAAATGGATAACTCTGAGATGATGGATATGTTAATTTGTTCCACTGTAGTAACCATTTTAATATATATGTGTGTGTGTTATAACATCACGTTGTATACCTTAAGTATATACAATAAAATTTACTTTTAATAAGTACTCTCTAAATGTACTTATTAGTATCCCTGCTTTAATTTCTTTACCAATAAAATAACATAACAACATCAAAGTAAAAAGCAAAATTTTTGGAGTTCTACCTTATGTGAGGTGCTGGATCTACAGCTTGGAAGTCCTACAAACACAGACCTTGAAGAAGTAAGTTGAATTGTGCTGAGTGTTAGGAAGGTGAGATATAGAGTGCTATGGAAATGAATAATGGGGGTGACCTAACTTACCCTGGACATCAGAGACGGCTTCCCTGGGCAACTGATGCTAAAGTTGAGACCAGACAGATGTGTAGGTGTTGTGATAGGGGCTATGGTGGTGAGGAGCATTCATGAGGCCAGAAAGAGTTATTCTAGTTCCCAGTGCTAGGGGTCAGATAGAATTTTAGAGCCAAAAGAAACTTTAGACATAATCTAAAACAGTGGCTTGGCTGTACAGCTTTGGATGCACATGGGAATTATTGGGGGAGCTCTTAAAAATTCTACTACCTTTTTGCATACCTAACTAATTAAATCAAAATCTCTTGGTGGAAAGCACACCCAGGGTCCTGAGTCAGGAGCTGAGGGCCACCCCCCACAGCCCAGATGCAGGCAAGAAACAGAGCACACCTTGGGTACTGAGGCAGGAGCTTAGGGCCAGCCCCCTCCACCCAGAAGCAAGCAAGAAACAGAGCATGCCCAGGGTCCTGAGGCAGGAGCTGAGGGAAATATCCCCAGGAGCACACTAAAAACATTACTTCTATGTGGGTGGTCCACCACAGCTACTGCCACAGCCACAGCTACTGCCAAAGCAGAAGATGCCACAGCAGTAGCCACAGCTACTATACAGGCAGCCTGCCAGACACTCAACTACATTGACACAAGAAGAGTCACCAATGGAGACCGGCAAAAGAAGAGGACATCTCTCTCCTCAAAGCCCACTTCAGAGTAATAGAAGAAGCAACTGCTCTACCAGATAACCAGACATCAATGTAGAGATACTAAAAATACAAAAACCCAAGAAAATATGACACCACCAAAAGAATACAGTAATTCTCAAATAGCAGGCCCTATAGAATAGGAAACCCTTGAAATGACTGAAAAGGAATTCCGAGCAACAATCTTAAGGAAACTCACTGAGATAGGAGAAGACTCAGTTAGACACAATGAAACAACAACAAAAAAATCCAGGATATGAAAGAGGAAATTTACAAAGAGAATAATACCTTAAAAAAGAATGTGGCATTTTAATATAGGTGTTTACAAGTGTAGATTTTCCTCTAAGCACTGCATGAGCCCTGCATCCTATAAATTTTAATATGTTGCACTTTGATTTTTATCTCAAAGTACTCTTATTTCCCTGTGATTTTTTTTTATCCATTGTTTATCTAGGATAGTGTTTAATTTCCACATACTTGTGAATTTTCTAAACTTCCTTCTGTTATTGGGGTCAGAATATATTTTCTATGATCTTAGTCTTTTAAAGTGTATTAAGACTTGTTTTGTGGCCAAAAACAAAAAATAAATAATTTAAAAAAAAAAATCTCTCAGTGAGGGGACCCAGACATCACTGTTTAAGATTAGTTTCTCAGTTCCAATGTGCAGCCAAAGTAAGGAACCTCTATTCTGGGCCTTGAAAGTTAACTATGTTTTATTAGTTTCTATGTGATAGCACACTATACTAGGTGTAAGTGTTTTGTATTTTTTCTCATTTAAAGTGACCACTCTAATGTAGGTATCTCTGATTTACAACTACAGAAACTGAAGCAAAGAGAGAGAGAGATTAAATTACTTTTCCAGGATTACACTTCTGGTGTGTGGCTGAGTTAAGATTTGAAGTTTGGATGGAAAACACATGCTTTACTAACATGGTTCTCCACCCTGGCTGCTTGTTCAAATCAATTGAAGAACAACTTTTTCTTCTTTTTTAGTAATAGCTTTATTGATATGTTATTCATATATCATAAAATTTACCCTTTTAATGTATACACAATTCACAGGTTTTTAATATAGTCACAGAGTTGTGCAATCATAACCACAATCAATTTTAGAACATTTTAATCAGCCTAAAAAGAAACCCCTTACCCATTAGTAGTTAACTATCCATTTTCCTCCAACACTCCTAGTCCTAGGCAAACACTAATATACTTTCTGCTTCTATGGATCTACCTATTCTGGACATTTCATATAAATGGAATTATATAATACGTGGTTTTTTTATGACTGCCTTCTTTCAGTTATCATAATGTTTTCAGAGTTCATCCGTATTGTAGCATGTATCAGTATTTCATTTTTCTTTCTTTCTTTTGGTCAAATAATATTTCATTGTATGCATACACATTTTACTTACCCATTCATTAGTTGATAGACATTTAGGTTGTTTTTACTTTTTTGCTTATATGAATATGCTACTGTGAACATTCCAATACAAGTTTTTGTGTGAACATATATTTTCATTTTTCACGAATATGTGCCTAGGAGTAGAATTGCTGGATCGTATGATAACTGTTTAATCTTTTGAGGAATTGTCAGACTTTTCCACAGTGACTGCACCATTTTGCAGTCCCACCAATAGTGAATGATGATCCTGGTTTCTCCACATCCTTGTCAACATTTGTTTTTCTGATTATAGCCATTCTAGTGAGTGTGAAGTGGTATCTCATTACAGTTATTAACTTGCAGTTCCCTGACGGCTAATGATGTTGAGCATCTTTTCATGTCTTTATTAGAAATAATTACTTGGGAGTAATGTCTCTTCAGCCAAAGACCTTTTAAAACATACCGGTCCCCGGACTTTCAAATATATGTGGACTGAGTTGAGCATAGACATAGTTATTTTTTAAAAGCCTAAGTGATTCTGATGTACAGTACACCAGGGTGCTACCTTAAAGTCATACTGCTTTATGTAGTGAAAACAGGCCCAAAGAAGCCAGAAGACAAGGCTAAGGTCATGGCAGAACTGAGATGGCAACTCATATTTAGGAGTCATTCTCCTATACTAGGTCTCTGAACTGCCCATATTTTATCATTCTAATTGCCATCTTTAACTGTAACAGAGCTAGGGCCGGCCCGTGGCTCACTCGGGAGAGTGCGGTGCTGATAACACCAAGGCCACGGGTTCGGATTCTATATAGGGATGGCCGGTTGGCTCACTGGCTGAGCGTGGTGCTGACAACACCAAGTCAAGGGTAAAGATCCCCTTACCGGTCATCTTTTTTAAAAAAAAAAAAAAAAAACTGTAACAGAGCTAGCAATAGCAAGGGACATAATGTCCTATCTTTCTAGAGAAAGGTGGTACTGGTAGTTAGGAGTAGAGGGAGAAACTTTTACATTGAGCTGTGTAACACTGTCTTGTCGGGTTCCTATAGTTACTGTTTCCATGAATTCCACATGCAGCACAGCACTCCAGTAAGGGTCAGTGTTAATGCCCCTTGAAAGAACACTGAGCTCAGAATGCTGCTAGGAGAACTCCATTTTAACATACCTTCTTAGTATAGATTCAGGTATAAGATGGGTAGGATTGTATCAAGCACAGTGCCTTGCAGTTGAGAGTAGCTTTGCAGCATACAGCTATTAAATGAATAGATGTTGCAGTGGCTGACTCCCAGAGATACCCCAGTTTTTCAGAATATGAGACCATGAACTAGACATTTGTTCCTACAGTTTATGCCCCTATTCACTGCCTGTTTCTATATTCTGTCTCAGCATTCTATTGCCTTGTATTCATACAGTGGGGAAAGTATTCAGATTTAGGAGGTATTCTAGCCAATATAAATCCGGTTCTGTTTCTGGGTATCTGAATTGCCAACCTGGGGCCTTCTCTGTAAAATTTCCCTGCCAGCTGCAATATCAGTAAGTGGTATATTGAGAGTCATACCAAATTCTAGCATTGACCTCACATCTTAGATTTGTAGAAATTATTTTTTATTATTCCTCCTTGAAAAGCATTTTAAAACGTTCTTTATCAATGCTTTAATGTTAAAACTGTGACATTCATTTATTAACTTTTTTACATGAAGGCTTTTACCTTATTTTTGTTACAGTTTGCTTTTTTAGAGACTTGTACCCCTGCCAAAACACCACTTGCTGAAATATCAAATTACATACAGATAATCCCAATTTTACAGTGGTTTGGCCTAAGACTTTTCAGCTCTATGATAGTGTGAAAGTGATGTTGTGCATTCAGGAGAAATCGTACTTTGAGTACTCATACAACCATTCTGTTTTTCATTTTCAGTATGGTATTCATAAATTATATGAGATATCCAATAGTTTATTATAAAATAGGCTTTGTGTTAGATAATTTTGCCCAACTGTAGGCTAATGTGTTTGGAGTATGTTTAAGGTAGGTTAGGCTAAGGAGTGATGTTTGGTAGGTTAAGTATATTCAATGCATTTTCAGCTTACTATATTTTAGATTTATGATGGTTTTGTAAGGATGTAATCCCATTGTACGTTGAGGAGCATCTGTATATGAAAGGACAGTATGGCATAATGATTTATCGCCCAGTTTCTGTGTACAAGTCTTAGCTCTATCACTTAGTTGTATGACTTTTGGTGAACTACTTGACCTCAATTAAGCCTCAGTTTTCTCATTTGTAAAATGGATATATGTTTCATAGGGTTGTTTGTGAAGATAAAATGAAATGGCTTTGTAAAATACTTATTACAGTGTTTGGAACATGGTATTTCCTCATTAAATGCTTGTATGATGACCTGTGTTTTGAGCTGTCATAAGTTTTTGCTGCTTCATTAGGCACATTCTTGCCTCGTTCCCTTGTGACTAGTAGAACGCATCTCAGTACAAATGCTGAATGGAATAAAGTTTATAATTAGTAGCTGAGAAATTAGTGAAGGCTACTGGTCCAAATGAAGACTGAGTTAGTCATCACCTCGTTAACAGTAACGTTATACTTTAACCAGCCAAACTGTCTGGAAGTAACTGTTTGTAATATTGCTTTTTGGTTTTAACTATACTGGTTGAAGAGTAATAATCTCCCTATATCGAGTACATAATACCAGAAATCTAGTATTTTTTGAGAGATTCTTTTTCCATGAAGTAACTCAGTTAAATTTTGAGGTATTACAAACATGGACACACTAAAACGAATTAATGTGAATATGATAGTATCTAGCAAATACTCTAGGCACAAAAGATTTTCTAAGAGTGCTGCTTGTGTAGGAATTAGAAGATAAGGCTTTTGAGTTTGAAGTCAGAGACTAAGTGTGGGAAGAAGGAAGCAACTGTGCTTTCTTAGGGTGACCCTAGTGCATGGACCAGGTCTGGACCTGCTCTAGGGGGTTGTCTTCTTTGGGCTCGGATGCTTGGATATCTGCGTGTGGGGATGATACCTTTCAGGTCAGAGCTGTGAGTAGCTACCATGACCCTGGGCAGAGGAGCCTTCTTTAAACAGAGCAGGCTGAGATGCTTCTTGAGATAATGGCTAGGAACTGCCAGGAATCCATGGCCCAGAATGTATCCCTAGGCCTTTTATAATTATTTCTACTTTTGAAATAATTTCTACTTTTGAAGTCTTTGGCAGGGAAATGTGCTGTTTGTTTTAAAAAAAAGACATTGCGATAGTAAAAAAGGCAGAATATATATTTGTTTCCTTTTTCTATAAAACAACATTCACATTCAACTTTCCCATTTTACTCTCACATAACCCTTTGAAGTAGGGCAAATATTCAACAAGATGAGTATTTGATACCTTTTGGAATTCTCTCTGAGCACCTGATACACAGGCTACTTCTATGGCTTCTAAGGCTCTGGCCCACTCTTCTGAAATGTTCATCTGTGGCCCTTTCAGAATTGTACCTTTGAGGAGGACATCCCTAGTTGAGTATGTAAACTGTGGAGCTACCCTGAAGTCTTTCTATGAGTTTCCTCATATTTGGGAGGGAAAGAGTGGGATGGAGTTCTTCAGGACTCTCCAGATCTCCTATTGAGATCCCAGCCTTATCAAAATAACCAAAGTTTTATTTTCAGTGATCCCTGTATTCCTCTTGCTTGAGTACTTCCTGCGTTCACCTGGAGAGAATCTCTTTAGGGTGGCTATAGACTTGCGGTTACTACAAACATTTGTCAAGTCAATTATATTAAAAGGTGTTAATGAGAGAGCTCTGTCTGGTTCTATCAGGTAGGCTTGCTGTGAATGTTGTGGTGTTCAGGTGTTTTGGGGGTGGGGAAAGGGGGTGGGTATTACAGGAGAAGTATTTACTGATGTAATCGTTTCTGATCTGTTAATGCAAAAATCTTCACTTATCTTGTCTTTTAGGGATTGTTCCCTGAAGGGAAGACCATTTCATCTCTTCCGATTACTCATCCAATACCATGAGCCCGAACTTTGTTCTTTACTTGATACCAAGAAAATTACTCCAGACTCCTATGCACTCAACTGGGTAATAAAGTGAAAGTAGGAACACTTAATGAAAAATAGATTTATATAAAACTATAGTTAGGTGAAGTTTTTTTTTCAAGGGAGAGAAAGAAAATTACTAAATTATAGATTATTACTACTTAAACCAAAGGAGTGAAATTATTCGCTTTTCAAAATAACTTTTTTTACTCTTCATTTATCTTAGTTCAGATTATTTGACATGAAGTTTAGGTTTTCGGTGTTTTACATATATTTGTGTGAGTATAACTAGTATATTTACATACAAGAGTACTTCAACAAGTTGTGGAAAAATAGAATTAAAAGATAATATGAATCTTTCTGTGAACTTTTTGCTGTACCCCCATAAGTGTAATATATGCGTATAATATATGTAAACATATGGTATATATCAGTTCACTTTAAAACTTGGTGTGTTAAAATTGTTGATGGTGTGTATAAAAATTGGTGTCCAATCATGAGAAAAACAACTTAAGATCAAGTGGTTAATGTAAAAGAATATAAAGTACAACTCAGTATTCTGTAATTCTGTGTTTGTATTTTCAGTGGGAAGTCTTATTTAGTCAATGGTTCTTAAACCTTTTGGTCTCAGGACCCCTTACACTTTAAAATTTATTGATGATTCATTGTTTACGTGGATTATGTTGATTAGAAATTAAGACTAAGGAATTTTAAATATTCATTTATTAATTCATTTAAAAGGAATGATAAACCCAATATATGTTAACATAAATAGCCTATTTTTAAATGAAAAACAATTATATTTTCCAAAAGAAAAATAGAATAGTGGCATTGTTTTATATTTTTGCAAATCTCATTAATGTTTGGCTAAATCAAGGACAGGTGGATTCTCATATTTGCTTCTTTATTCAATCGGTGTTGATAGCACAGGTCATGTAGCCTTTGCAAAATTCTATTGTTCATTTATGAGGGAACAAGTATGAAAAAGGCAAGTAAAGTCTAAGTATTATTATGAAAATAGTTTTGACCTCACAGACTCCCCTGTAAAGAGTCTGGGGGACATCTGAGGGCCTTCAGACCACAATTTGAGAACTGCTGTTCTAGGTTAATTTGAATGTCTTTCTAAAACAATGATTGTTAGAAGACTACACAGTATATTCAAAAATTAAACATATTTTTTGATCATGTCTTACCTAACTTTTCTTCAGGAAGAATCCCATTTCTGCCACTTGTTAACTGTATGATCTAAGACACTTAGCCTCTGAGCTTCATCTGTAAAATGGGAATAATAATAGTACCTATCTCAGAGGATGATGGGATGAGGTGGCAATCAGGAAATGGTAATTAGAGAATCCTAACTGGTTTTACTTCTGGGCTCATTAAATCTCAATCTCAGTAACCTATCTTTAGTTCCCTCTCAGCCACAGTCTTGTTACTTTGAGCTAAAATAATAAAATACCTATAAAATTATAGTTTCTCCAAGAGTCATATGTTGCCATTAAGTCTACTTATTTATGTTAAAGTAAGAAACTATTTCTCTTAAGCATTTTAATAAGTAATAGAAGTCTTTCTGCCTAAGAAATGCCATTTCGGTTGTCAGAATTCTAAATTAGTACTCAGTGCTGGTGGCAGGAGGTTTTAACTGAGTACTAAAACAACTGGTTTCTCTTCAGCTGATGCGCCAAATAGTTTATTCTTGCTACTAGTATTATGTCAACGAAATGGAGTTTTTGTTGTTGTTGTTGTTTTTTAAATCATGAGATGAAACAATTAAAAACTAATTCTCAAACCTGGGAACCCATAAGCAATGCAGTGGTAGCTTTAGTTTAGCTAAGTGAGTTTAAGGATGGGTGTATATTATTATTCTATTTGTATTTATATCTTCTAATCTGTGTTTATAATAGTAATTTCTCAAACAGCAACAAAAAACATTAGTAGCATTATGTACTTTAAAAGCCTGTGGTCATGTGTAGTGGTGATTACATGGACTGTGGAGTCTCAGGCTTTTTTCTGTTCCCAACACTGCCACTCACTAGCTCTGTGAACTTGGGTTAGTTATTTAATCCAAGTCTATTTCCTCACCTGTCAGATAGGAAGAAAAATGTCTACTCTGCAGGCCTGTTGTGAGAATTAAAATATGAGCTAATTAATAAATCTGTGACAGTAGTTTAGTATCTGGTACAAAATATGCACTAAATGTATGTGTTCACATTAGCTGCCTTTAGCCATTAAAAATGTTTTAAATTGAAAGTTTTAAATGGACTTGTTTCTTTATCTAATGAAATTCAGTGCCCTAATAATCACTGAATTACTGTAGTTCCAAACACAGTTGAGCGGTAGAGAAACTTATAAATTAACAACTCCTTTTTGGGGGGCAGCTGGCCAGTATAGGGATCTGAACCCTTGGCCTTGGTGTTATAACACTGCACTCTAACCAAATGAGCTGCTGGCCAGCCTCTTGTAAATTAACAACTCTTTTTATTTGAAATACACAACCATAGAGCCCCTGAGATCTATTGAAGGATGTGAATGTTGTTTCATCTCTTTCAAATGATGTACAAGTAAGCTTTGGGATGAATTCACATTTATGTTGTCATTAAAATTTTATTAGATGCTCCTAAATTACCAATTTTGAGCCTCATAATTACCTTGTAAGTTAAATATTGTGCTGTTATTAGTAATAATTATGCTAGTTACCTTTCTAGAGCTCTGTAGGTAATTATACTAGTTATGCTGTGTCAGAGATATGTGCTAGTTACTTTAGATATTCTAGGTTAATTATCTCTCTTTTTACAACAGTGGTACAAGATGGGTAGTAGTATTCCTTCCTTTTTACAGAAGTAGAAATGGAAGATTAAAAGAGATTAAGTGACGTGCCGTAAGTCACACAGCTAGTAAATGGCTCCATTGTGTTTTGAATCCACATGTTTTGCCTTTGGATTTCATACACTAAAATTAAGGTACACATTAAATATCAGGTGCAAGTAATGTGATGTATGTTGCTTATTCATTTGCTAATACTTTTAGAAAGAACAAGTCAGCTTCAGTGGTTTATGTCCCTCATCTCATTTTCTGATTACAGCTTGGAAGCCTTTTTGCGTGTTACTGTTCTATCGAAGTCACTCAGGCAATATGGGATGGATATCTTCAACAAGCAGATCCATTTTTTATTTATTTCTTAATGTTAATTATACTTGTTAATGCAAAGTAAGTATCAAGTTAGTTAGATTTTTTCCTTCTCTTTTCTCAGGGTGCTCTATTAATATTTAACTCTAATTCATTTGATTCCCTTTACAGAGAAGTTATTTTAACACAAGAGGCAGACAGCAAAGAAGTTATCCGTGAGTATCATTTAATTTAGAGAAAACACTTTAGGTCACTTAATCTCTCTAAAACTTAAGTTTTCTTATCCGTAAATTTAGGAGATTAGTCTAGATGAGCTCTGAGGTTTCATTCAACCCTCAAATTCTGTTAAGTACTCTCCAGGTACAGACCTTAAACACTGTTTTCCCTGATTTTGCCATCCTCATTCATTCCTTTGTATTTTTTCACTCTTTCATTCCTTTCCATATACTGTTTCTTTGGTTTCAGTGTTCAAATAGAATGTCATCCTCTCTCCATCAGTGTTCTTTCCTTAATGTACCTTTCAATACTCAGCTTACATATCTCTTGTGAAATTTTGGTTCTTCTTTTGGGCTCTCCGCACTCTAGCCCCCACACAGATAGTAACTTCCTTTCTATAATGCCTGGCACTTTGTACTGTCTATCTAATAACATTCATCTTAGTACATTATAATGGTTTATTTTCTCACATAAGACAAAGTTCCTTAACTCAGGATATTTCTTAGTCATTTTTTATTTCCAGGGATCCTGGCATTTCATGTATGTTTTTTGAGTAAATAAATCAGAATATATTGATTAAGGCTAAGTAACTTCATTTAATTGACTGACACTGTCCTTCATTAACAGAAGAATTACATTAACAGTTTCAGCTCATTTGGAGAATCCACTTTTCCGCAGCAGCTTTAAAAACATCACTGTTGAGATTCCATTCATATAGTATTTATTATGTTGAAGATATTTCAGCTTTGGTACATAAATAATGTTGGTTATTGTATTTTTCACAAACAATTTATTAAATATCATATTTAAAATCATATTTCAGAGTTCTTGGAAAATACTCCATCCAGTCTGAATTTAGAAGATATAGAAGACCTTTTCTCTCTGGCTCAGTATTATTGCAGTAAAACACCAGCTTCTTTTAGGAAGGTATAAGACAAGAAATAACCAGCTATTCTATATTTCACATTTTGTACATTGTTTTATTGCTTACTTTGTATCTGCTTCAGTTAAAATATTCTAGGTTGTCATTCTTTTTGTGTATTAATATTCTCCGTAGTGGAGGAACAGACAGGTTAAAAAAGATTGTAGGAACCATCTTATCTCTATTCTGATTATTAGTTATTTTTGATCATGAGAAAATTGACAGATATTTCTTAAATTAGTGCTTTCTTAACTTTAAAAATTATATTACAAAAATCCGATGGAGGAGTAAGTATAATTATGCTCCCTTTATCTGGAGTTCAGCCTTGTACAACCTTAGTGACTCAGAGCTATCTTCTAAACAAAAAAAGGTCACTTAGCCCCATAGAGAATTAGATCCTTAGACCAGACAGGTGCTTTCAATAAAGGACACCAGATTAGAAGCATGAGTGGTATGAACTCCTAGAAAATAAAACTCTAAGAAGCAAAAGTTTATGGCAGAGGCACAGGTTTATATTTATAAAGTAAACAAGTTTGTGAATTCAGGGACCCGTGAGAACATTATTGTCTTTTTTTAAAAAAAGCATTTTGCCGTAATAATTTCTAGTTGGCAGTCATCATGTCACTGAAATATCAAGATGAGGTTAAATTATGTTCAGTATAGTATGTTTCAGAAGGCAGGTAAAAGAAACCTTTTAAGAACACTTCTCTCAAAAATAATTAATTATAAAAGATTTATTTCTAGGGATAATTTCACCTATTTAAATAACTTCCTCATGGAGACTACTTCAGTTCCCAACAGTGTTGGGTAAGTCAGATTGTGGGTTGGTAGTTTAGGATATTAGGTGAAAAAGAAGTCTTATTCTTTTCTTTTTCAGTCTTTTAAGAAGAGCACCTTTTATTCTTTAGACATAGTAAATAATCTGCACTAGGAGCTGCAAATTAGAGCAGGCTGTAGGTCAGTATATTGCATAATTTGTGCAGTTTATTTCTGCCAAATTTTTGTTATTACATTAAGATATGACAAGTTGTGAGTAACCGTGTTTAAAATTTAATATTTAACTATATGTGATACTATAGAAAACAGATGTATAGAATGTGTTATTTTTTTCTTAGTCTTTCATCTTGTGTGAACTCTGAATGGGACTTTATGGCCTTTTTGTAGCTTTCAACCTGTAAGATTTGAAACTATATAATAAATTTTAAAAATCACATGATTCAAGGATGTTATATAATTATTTTACCTTTTATCATGATTTAATAAGAATATTTTTAGGAAGAAGGTTTGACTTTGTTTTTTCTTTATAATGTTTAAAAATTTCTCTTCAAACAGGATAATCACCATCTCTTTGGTAGTACTTTGTTGGGAATTAAGGATGATGATGCAGATCTGAGTCAGGCTCTTTGTCTCGCTGTCTCAGTGTCAGAGATCCTCCAAGCAAATCAGCTGCAAGGAGTAAGTCATGGAAACACAGTTTTTCAGGGGACTATCCCTTTCAAATGCAAGGAACCGACATTTTCTCCCTGTTCATTGATTCCCACAAAATGGATTTACTACAACAATGTGGCTATTTTGCCGTTTTTGAATGTCTTATATGTTAAATCTTCTGTCCAGATGGTCATTTTTAAACTGCCAGTTTGTGCGTTATTTTAATTGTCAACAATTAATTATTCTTGTCATTCTTGACACCAGTTTTTATAAATTGCCATATCTTTTTTCATATTTCAGCAAAGCAGGTGAATGTGGCATCGAATAAACTACTTAAAAGGGTGAATTTAGCACTTAACTGTTAAATTCGGGGTAGTTATACAGCTAATTCAATAACATGATTTAAAGCCATAAAGCATATAGCAAAGGAGAATTGTGAAAATATACCATACTTTTCTGTCCATTGCGATCTTTATGAAAATCTAATGAGCTAGTTTGACCAGTGGCATTTTCAATATATGGTCTTTTTAATAGTAGTGTAACAGGTAGCCATGAGTGTATATACTTGGAAAGTGGGATATATTTCTGAGGTTGATGAGGGGAAAAGAATGGACATGGGAAACCTGGCCTTTTACGGTAGATCTCAGTTGGACTTCTTACTGTATCTGTACTGGTGGTTCAGAATTTTCAAAATACAAGCATCTCATCTTTTTCTTATTAGAAAAATATTAAAAAACAAAACATACAACTCAGTTTAAAGAGATCCATCTGTACTTCTTCAGTTCAAAACTGGCATTGCAGAACCTCCTTGTCCTGCTTCAGCATACAAGAAAGAGGTTTAGTTCTTACATAAATTGAGTTGTTGATAAGCTCGTAAATTATTTGCAAAAATAAGAACAGTATATCTAGAATTGTGTTTCTAACTATATAGTGTTTACATAATAAACATTTAAAAATTGTCAAATTCCAGTATAATTACTTTTGTAGCTCAAACTGACATTGTCCTGCTACATAAATATTTTTAAACTTTTTGGTCAAGAGCAATACATAAAAAATATTTTAACTGTTTAAAATGAGTAAAAGTATTTATGGCCTTATGTGTTGTGTCTGTACTAATTGGGTCTTTTTCTATGTGAGATTCATTTTTTTCTTAAACTTATTTCCCCTTCTTTGTTAATGTTATATTGTGTAATGTGGACCTCATGGCAAATTCCAGTATCTCAAATGTTGTTTCCCCTTTAGGAAGGAGTCCGGTTCTTTGTGGTGGATTGCCGTCCTGCAGAACAGTATAATGCTGGGCATTTATCAACTGCTTTCCACTTAGATTCAGATCTGGTGAGTATAAATGATTATTAATTTTTTTGTAAAAAGTAAGAGAGGAGGTAAATTTTTTTTTCTTCCAGTTCTTAAATAAATATGTCCTGGATTAGGGGTGTTTTTCTTTCTGCTTAAGGAAAGAATCTCTGCCCTTATGGGAAAAGTGTTGCTCTCAGGTTTCCTTTTCACACAGGACACCCTTTTGGCATCATAAAGGGTAGATGAAGACACTGTTAGCTGTGGCTTACTATTGCTTACCATTGTTATGTCATTAAATTCTAAACTTACTATGAGCTACCTTATAGAGCACTTAGCATAGTGCCTTGCACCTAGTAAGTACGCTATAAATTTCAGCTCTTATTGTAATTGGGTAAGAATTCTAAAAACTTTTACTGAAAGGCATTTTAAAAAATCGTGAGTATTTATGCATATAATAAACTAATATTTAATAAGGGTAGTATCTAGCATATAAACGCTCAGTTGTTAAAATTACTATCCTGGGTTGATTTCAGTTGAAGGAGTGGATAAAGTAAATAATTAAATATTGTCAGATGCTCAGAGCTGTTGACATCACTGATACTGACATCATTTAAGCTGTTCTGGGTTATTAGGCTCTCAGCAACGGGAAAACAGAAAGAGGAGTAGGATAGTAACCCCTTCTGTTGACTGTGCAGTTTACTCCTTCCCAACTTGTCTGAAGAAGTTAATGCTGAGGCTGAAGGTGTGTGTAGAAAAGCATTGGTATAGTTAAGAGGAAACTTATAGAAGATGAAGGTAGAAGAACTCAGAGTTTTAGACACTGTAGGTGAGAAAGGCCATCCTAACTCATTCTTGTCCTGTAGGTGAACTCTGTACCTTTCTCTTCCTTTGATTCCTCTCTAATGCTTATTTTAAAAATTTACTCTAGTGATTTATGAATAACTGAATTTTAAAAAAAATTTTCAAAGAATATCACCAGAGTTAACCACCATTGTCAACTTGTTTAATCTGCCAGACCTTTAATACATATTTACATATTTCTTGCTCTGCCACTTGCTTTTCACTTAACAGTTTCTTGGAGATCTTTCCATTTACGTACATTCTTAAAAAGAAGGTGCATAGTGGTCTTTGTTACAGGTACACCATAATTTATTGCCTGAGTGATGTACATTTGGATTATTTTCAGTTTTTTTGTAATAATGCTGCAGTTAACATCTGTATGCATATTTTGTGAACTTAGGCAAATATTTCTGTAAAATAGATCCTTAAAAGTAGAATTGTTGAATTGAGGGGTGTGGGCGTATGATTTTACTAAAGACCACCATATTGCCCTTCAAAACAGCTGAACCACCTTCCATTTCACAACTGTAAAGAGTGATTGTTTCATTCCATCAGCATTATTGGACATTATCAGTCTTTTTATTTGCCAGAATGATGGGTGAAAAATAGTGATAATTACTAGTGAGGTTGAGCATCTTTTTTTGTGTGTTCTGTTTATAGTTGTTGGGCTATTTGGTTTTGTTTTGTGTTGGTGTTTTGGTGGCTAGCTGGTACAGGGATCTGAACCTGTGGCCTTGGTGTTACCAGCACCACACTCTCCCAAGTGAGCTGTTGTTGGGTTTTTTTGTTTTTTTTTTTAATTGCTTTTCTATATGGTCAGTCCATTTTTCTGTTGGATTTCTAATGTACTTTTTTTTTTTCTTTTTTTTTTTTTCCTTTTTGTCTTTTTTTGTGTCCGGCAACGGATCGCACCCCTCAGTGTCGCGCCCGTACCGGACCGGGACCGGCAGCGGGATCGCAACCCTCCGTGTTGCACCCGCACCTCGCTCAGCCAGTGAGCGGGAACCAGTCTGTATGTGGGATCCGAACCCTCAGCGGGAGCGCCGCTGCACTCCCAAGCGGCGCACTGTAGCAGTGCGCCACCGGGCTGGCCCTCTAATGTACTTTTTATGTAGCTGCATTATAACAGTTTTTAAAAATTTTTGTAGTTATTGGCATACTTGTTTACTTGAGGGTAAGAAATGAATTTTTTATCCTTGTATCTCCAGTACCTAAAATAGTGCTGATAAATAAATGGATAAATGGCTTCTACTATATCTTACTGGGTCCTGTAAGAAATACATGGCTTGTCTTATAAATGGAAACTAAAAAATAGAGCTTGTTTGAGCTCTACTGTATTGTTTTTATTCACAGGGTCTTCCACTCAGTGTTAAACTCTTTCTGTTACGATACCCAAGGACACTGTAGCTGGTTGTTATGTAAGAAACAAAAAACAACAAAAACAATTTTTTTTCTAGTAGAGAAGTATTTTCTTTATATATTTAATACTTCTGGGGATTTTCAACTTTTGTTGTAACATGTTATAGTAAATTTATATATCTCTTATCCCAGAGATTTTTGTTTTTAAATAACATTTATTATAATCACTAATATAACATGTGACCTTTGCAGAGATCCTGTTTATAGGAGCCTTTTCTTTCTTTTTCCTTTGTTTTCATGATGGCTCTTTAGATGTTGGGTTTTTTCCCCTGGAAAAATATTTCAAGTTTTGCAAATGTATATGAAACACAGGCTTGCCATGTTTATAATTTTTTAAAAAATTTTCTAGATGCTCCAGAATCCATCTGAGTTTGCACAGTCTGTAAAATCTTTGCTGGAAGCACAGAAGCAGTCCATTGAGTCCGGCTCCATAGCTAGTGGGGAGCACCTCTGTTTTATGGGTAGTGGCAGGGAGGAAGAAGACATGTATATGAACATGGTTCTGGCGCACTTTTTACAGGTAAGCTGATATAGATTATTGGTTATTGCTATCATCTTTAAGAAAATTGTATAGATAATTTTTGCTTTTATGTACACTATCAGATTTATCTGTATTTTTTTTTACAGCTTCTTGGTTTTGTTGTCTTGTCAAGAAAGGTCATCTTCAGATTTTTCTCTCATGCTTATGTGGTTTATTTTTTATGTTTAAGTATTGAACCATTTGGAATTTACTTTTGTGTAAGAAGTGAGATAGAAATCAGAAAAAATGTTTTTCCGGATAGCTAACCAATACTGCTATCAAATTGATTTTTTTGTCTGTTTTTTGTTTTTGGGTTTTTTTGGCAGCAGTCCAGAATGGGGATCTGAACCCAGGACTTTGGTGTTACAGGGCTGCGCTCTAACCACCTGAGCTAATCGGCCAGGCCAGACTTTGTGCTATCAATTTGAAATACAACCTTTTTAATATACTGAATTCCTCTGTGCATCAGGATCTATTTCTAGATTATTCTGTTGCATTGATCTTTATGCCTATTTATGCCTTAGTATTTTTTACAGTAGCTATATAATTCATCTTAATATTTTCATTTTGAAATTGAAAAAATATACATGCATATTTATTCATGGCCCATAGCCATCTTTCCTTTTTGTGTTGAATGTGTCTTCAGCACAACTAATTTGTATTAGTGGTTTTATGCAACCTGTCCCTCTGCTTTCTTGCAAAGCCTTATTCAGTGATGGCTCATTCCTTATAAAAAAATAGTTGTTTATTAGGTATTCTTTGTTAGTTTATACATTAAAGTCCTTACAATGTATGATCCTAAACTATGGAATCAGAAAGACAGTAGTCATGGTGTTACACAGGCCACTCAATTTGGATTAATTTCTATTTATGTTGTATTTCACTGGGAATCTGGTTTGAGAAAATTAGTCTAACAGCAGAATCCCTGAAAGGCAAAATCAGAGAAGGAACAAGCTATTTGGGGGAGGGATTGTAAGATCATTTTAAATCTTGTTAAAGGAAATAGTTTAGAAACATATACAGAGTAGCAAAAATAGGGACCTAAACTCATTTTAATCATAAATTTAACCGGCCTATTCTTTTTTTTTTTTTAAAAGATGACCGGTAAGGGGATCTCAACCCTTGGCTTGGTGTTGTCAGCACCACGCTCAGCCAGTGAGCAAACCAGCCATCCCATATATGGGATCCGAACCCGTGGCCTTGGTGTTATCAACACCGCACTCTACCGAGTGAGCCACAGGCCGGCCCTTAACCGGCCTATTCTAAAAATGCTTTAGTGTAAACTTATATATTGCAAGAGCTGTTTTACGACAGTACTGAAGTATTGTGGACTTTTTTTTTCTATTATTCAAGTGTTTGATGTGGTTTTAGAAATTTTTTTTCCCAATTTGTATTATACAAAATTTCAAAGAAGTTGAGAAGTAGGGAGAATTGATACATAAACTCTTTATAAAGACATAACCACATTATTGTTATCATAGTTTATTATTAAAGAAATATAACTAGTGTTCAAGTTGCCCTGGTTTTCATAGGGTCTAAAACAAGACACTGCATTTGGTTGATGTCTTTTAAGTTTCTTAATTTGTATGTTTCCCCTTTCCAATTTTTTCCTTATAGAAATTTCCTTATATATAATTTGTCTTATAGAGTTTCCCACATTTTGGATTTTGGTGATTACATTCACATGGTGTCATTTGTCAGATTCTATCCCTGGTATTTCCTTTAAGCTGGTAGTTAGATGAAGAGACATGATCAGATTGCTTTTGGTGGGGAACCAGAGGATCCTGGGGAGGTGGTGTGTGCTTCTGTCAGGTAGCAAATACTGTCCAGATGTTTCCTTTTTTGTATCTCTCTTTTTTTGTTTTGTTTTGTTTACCATTACTTAGATTTATTATGTTTTTACTAGTTTGCAAAATGGTAATATTCTGTCATTTCTTCATAATTAGCTGCAATATTTTTTTATATTACATTTTTGTAAAGGACACAAAATATTTTTAAAGCTTTTTAAAAAACGCTCTGATTACATCCTAAAATATCATTTAACTAATTTTGGTTTGGCTGTTGCACTATTGGGACTATAATACAAGTAAACTCACAGTCTTGTTAGTAGCCAGGAAGTTGTCTCCGTCTTCCACCCAAGCACCAAACCATATAATACACAAGGTAAATGTACATACCTCTCTATGCCAAAGTCCAAAATGTCAAAGAAAAAAAAAAAGTCTGGAAATTTAATATATAACCACATATTTCAGTTGACAGTGTTTTAGAACTATCAGAAGTTTTAATTAAATTGCGTTTTGGAATAATTTTAATTTTATTTTCCATTACAGAAAAACAAAGAATATGTGAGTATTGCCAGTGGAGGATTTATGGGTAAGGTTTCAATTTGTTAATTTCTTTGCCTCCACTTTTTAGAGGAAATTATTGATTATCAGCAGAGCTGATTTGAAATGATCAAATGCGTTAATAGGTAGACTCTCTCTTCGGTCATACGATATTTTCAGAAAAAACAAGGCCAGAGGATGCACAGATAACAGAAAAACATAATAGGCAAATTGAAATGAATGAATATTTGATGAAAGACTATTTAAATAGATGTATTTAATTAGCTTGTGTTTCCAAAAAGTATTTCTGTAAAGATGCATGAAAAACTGCCCATATTATCTGCCTCTATGGAGAAAAAGGGTTAGATAGGACTAGAACAACAAGAGTTGGAGGAATACTTTTAACAGTATACCCTTTGTACTATTTGAGTATTTCGTTATTTCATCTCTGAACTACTTGAAGGTATTTACTGCTACAAAAAATGTTGGCTGAATGGAATAAAATAAATAAGCTGATGTTTTCAGGTCTGCAGACTAATACCTGGTAATCCAGGATAGTAAGATAATTGGCATGATCTCTGCAGGGAAATATTTGAAAGTTATGAAGGATTAGGTCAGTGTAATAAGATTAAAAAAGAGCCCAACTTACATTAGGAAAAGGTATCATAAAAATACTGAACTGTAAATGCTGGGAAAAGGTAATGTTAGAATCAAATATGTTTTGAAGGTAACAGAATCTTGGATTTTAATCATGGAAGTATTTTAAGAAGATATGACCTAATGTAACTTTCTTATGCTTTAACTTGGAATTTTTGATAAATTAGGATCTGTTTCCTGTTGGTCTTAACTAATGACTACTGTTGGGTACAGTACTTAACTGTTTGGTTAGGTATCCCATGCATTCATGAAAAGTCTAACCAAAAATTTTCCAGTAGAATTATTGAAAAAAATCTGAGTATAAGTGGACTTGTTCAGCTGAAGTCCATGTTGTTCAAGGGCCAACTACTTCTTTTACCGAGAAATACATAATCTCTCTTCCCACAATTGTTAATGCCTAAAACTGCTTCATTATGGAAAGGTTGATTGATGTCTCCTTATGGTATAACAAAAGCCACCATAGGTTTTCTATTAATCTTGTATGTCATAAATAAGTCACGGAGATTGTCTGTTAATGCTTAAAAGATTACCTTCTTTTTTTTTTTTTTTGTCTTTTTGTCTTTTTTCGTGACCGGCAACGGATCGCAACCCTCAGTGTCGCGCCCGTACCGGACCGGGACCGGCTACGGGATCGCAACCCTCGGTGTTGCCCCCGCTCCTCGCTCAGCCAGTGAGCAGGAACCGGTCTGTATGTGGGATCCGAACCCTCGGCGGGAGCGCCGCCGCGCTTCCCAAGCGGCGCACTGTAGCAGTGTGCCACCGGGCCGGCCCCAAAAGATTACCTTCTGAAGAGGAAAACATAAAGCCTGTACAGTTATCATCACCCATATGGTCAGTTAAGAAAAGTTATATGTGTATTGAGGGCTTTAGCAGGAAGGTTTTCTGTAGCCTGGAGGCCTTTACTCCTCTTTAGAGGCACAGAAATAAATACCCGAGATTATGTCCTTGGATCTTTCCTCACTCTGTTTTGACATGTTTATTACACTTCTCTGGTAATGAACCAGAGTTGATATGTCACGTTATATCTTTTGTTTTTATTTAATTTGTTTAAAATGTATTCAGCCATAGTTGATTATACATATCTGTGGGGTACAGTGTTGAGTATCAATACCTGTACGTATTTTGTTTTGTTTTTCTTATTTATCTTAAGCACTACAGCAGCACCTAGCAGACATTAATGTGGATGGACCAGAAAATGGATATGGCCATTGGATTGCTAGTACCTCAGGCTCAAGGAGCAGTATCAATTCTTCTGTTGATGTAAGTGTATGTGTAGAGTATGTCACCAGATTTGGGTACATTCACATAAAAGGTAATTAGCTACTAAACCCCCACTATAACAGAATGGAGTCAAAATATTTCAAACATATACAGTGAGGAGTTGTATTATTTTGAGGTTAAATGATGGCGCAAGCCTGCACAGCCAAACTAACAAGAGTTCTCAAGGTTCAGCTGTTAAATTTGAATTTCTCCCTGTCCAGCTGCAGTTTGCTATCACCTAGTGACAATTTTATGCTCCAGCTTAAATATTAATGGAGATTACTCTGGTTTCTCTGACTAGCTGGGACTTAAGCAAGCTGATTCCAGGAATCTCCAAATTAGTTTTGGCCAGGAAAATACTGGGGCTCATGATCACACCTCTTACCTACTATGTCTGTACCTCTCCCCACCACAAACTTACATAATTAGGACTTCATTCTATCCACATTTGAGAATGGGCCAGGCAGAGGAAGAAAGAAACCAATTGCCAATCCTATTATATTTGATTTTTAGTTATTGAGATGTGCAGTACTGCAGGGTTATGCTATAGTGCATAAAAACATTTTTTTCTTCTACTTTGGAAATACTTGGTAATAATTTTTTGTGCTATTTCAGTTAAATTAGGCATTAAATCATTTTCTTAGCAAGTAATAGCTGTAGTTTCTCCACCTATGCAGTAGAGATAATGGTAACAGAATCTTTCTCATAAGGATGACTTGAGGATTAAATGTGCAAGTGCATGTAAGGTGTAGGACCTATTACCAAATATTTAATAGTAGTTATTATAATTGTAACTCACTAGAGGTATTAATTGAAGTTTATCTTCTGCCATGCAAATCATAACAGATTTTTGTCACATTATCAGCAGATAAGGCTTCTCTGAGAATTTTGTTTTTAAACTTATCCTCTAGGTATCTTAGAGCTCTTTTTGTGAAGTCACATTTTATTTAACAAATGTTTGTTGTTTTCACTTTTAATAACTAAATAGTATTCCATTGAATGTATGTGTTATAATTTATTCAGTTAGCCCCTTGTATTTACATTGCCTCTAGTCTTTTTCTATTACAGACTCTACTACAATTGATTTTTATAGTGGTATATTTTATTCCATGATTTTTTAGTTCTAGAAGTGGAATAACTTGATAAAAGATTACTTATCAAAATCCTTAGAATTCTGCATTATTATCAAATAGCCCTCCAGAAAACATTATTCTAATTTATATTCTCATCCACAGCATTGGATAGTCTTTCCATTGAAGCTTTTATCTTCAGATTTGGAAAACACTGATGAGGCCATTGTAGAAACTATCTTAAAGATGTGTTCTATTCAAAAGTACCAAAGAATTTCCACAGTCAGTTTAATTTGGTTTTGAATTGAGATGTGGAAATACACATGGTTTGTGTTGTTAATGACATATCTCTAAAAAACAAAAGTAACACATGTTCCTTGAAGCATTATATGTAAATAAGAAAAGTATAAAGAAAACAAAATCACCTTTAACTCTACCAGAGATAATTGCTATTCATATTTTGAAATATTTTCATGAAATCTTTTTTAATGCACATGTGTATTTTAGTATTTTATTTTAAAAGTAGTAACCATAGTGTACATAGTTTTATTTTCTGCTGCTTCACTGACCATGGGCATTTTCTAGTGTTTTAAAATCCTTTTTTTAAAGTATTTTTTTTTTCCGGCTGTATAATTTTTTATCAAATACTACCTAAATCTTTATTCACATTCTGATTGTTTCCTTCCTATAAGCTTTGAAGAGGAATTAATGGGGAAAAGATAGAACCACTTTAAAAATGTTTAATACCTGTCACCAAATTGCCCTCTAGGGTATATGTGAGCAATCCCACTACGCAATTTAAGAATTATACTCACACCTTTTACATTATGTATCTCAGGATAATTTTTCTTCGGAGATTAAAGGCCTAGGTGAGAATGGTTTTAGAAGCAAAAATTTACAAAGAACAAATGTTTCCAAATTTAACTACATTAATGGGAGTTTGATTATACTTTCACTTATTTTTGTAGACTCATCTGAGTTAAGACTAGTAGAGAAAATTACAGCACTGAAAAATAGGCAGAGTTCATGGTTCAAAATTTTTGTTAATTCATGTACATTATGTAATTTTATAAAAAGGTCAATAACTTTATTTCTTATTGAACAAAGAAAGTAATTTCAGACTCCACATCTATGTATGTGCGAAGATATCCTAATATTTCATTTCTACCTTCCATTCTTAAAATGGTTTCACCTAATGAATTAGTTTGCTAGGGCTGCAATAACAAAATACCATAGACTGGGTGGCTTAAACCACAGAAATTAATTTTTTTACAGTTCTGGAGGCTAAAAGTTTGAGATTAAGGCATTGGCAAGTTTGGTTTATCCTGAAGCTTCTTTTCTTGCCTTGCAGATGGCCACCTTCCCCATCATATCCTCACATAGTCTTTTCTCTGTTTCTTTCCCTCTTATACAGACACTAGTCACATTGGATTAGGGCCCACCCATATGATTTCATTTAACCTTAATTACCTCTATAAAAGCCCTGTCTTCAAATACAGTCACATTTTGAGGTGTGTTGGGAATTAGGACTTCAGCATATGAATTTGGTGGGAATACAATTCAGTCTGTAACATGTAACATAACCTTTAGCTGTATGTAGTGTGTCTGCTAATCATTTGGAGAGCAGTTAATCCATTTATGTTCTATATTTTCAGGGTGAATCTTCTAATGGGTCAAATGATAGAGGAATGAAGTCACTAGTAAATAAAATGACTGTGGCTTTGAAGACAAAATCTGTTAATGTCAGGGAAAAAGTTATCAGTTTTATTGAGAATACATCAACTCCTGTGGACCGGTGAGTTGCTTGTGCAGAATGAGTTTATGATGACTAATCAAAACTAAGAAAATGTGTCTTACAGTAAGTGAATGTTAGCTGAATTAAATGTGTTCTAGAAAAAGGATACCAAAGTACGACGGTACATCAAAAAGTTTGTGGAAAAATAGAATTAAAAGATAGTATGAATCTTTCCATGAACTTTTTGAAGTATCCCTGTACATTTTCTATTAGGTGATTTTGTAGTTTTCATTATAATTGCAGGGATATGCTTTATTGCTGCAAAATTTGGCTATAAAGATTACTCTCTCCTTTCCCACTTCTCAGAAAGATGCAAATAATGAATCTGCCTTTTCATGCCATTTGTTAAAAAACATTTAGGCCTCCCTTTATGTAGTACACTTCATGTAGTAGCTGCTTCTCAAATATCAAATGGATGGGGAATTATCTTCTAAATGCAGCAGTCTCATAGCAGAAATTTCTTACTCTGCTGCAGGAATTTAAAACCCAGAAAATTTGTTCATGCTAATTATGGCAGACACCCACTTTCTCAAGTTTAGGAGTTGAGATTTTACAATTTTGTATACAGAATATAAGTGAACCCCATTTTCTGGTGAGTTACAAATGAGGGGCATGGCTAACAATTGATAAGCAAGTTTAAGAATGTCTGTTAGCATTGTGATTGTGACTGTGAGTATGTATTTTCTTCTCCATGTATTAGTCTAATTGATCTTTCTTGTTCCTAGAGCTCAAAGCTATATTTAATTCCAACATAGAATTTGTTTCTAACCAAACTAGATCTTAGAAATGTGTTACATTATTTGGTTTCACTATTATGGCTTACTTGCAGTATATCGGGAAAGTTGAAATATTTGCCTTTAGGAACTGAATGTCAGGAATTTGCTGTTTGTCACTTTATTATGTATAGTACATATGCCTACAAAAGTACCTTTTTTTTCCCTGCTTATTAGTAAATAGCAAAGAAGACAACAGGTTATTTTCACTAATACAAAAAAATGTATCTTATCTAAAATGGTCAACTGATAACTGTTTTATCAAGCCTGAAAGATTTGTTTGCTCAATAAAGCTATGTCTACCCTCAAAAGCCTAACCCTTTTACTTGTATTAATTCCTATTATTGCTACCTTTTGTAGTATAGACACTTGGGAAATTTTATTTTAAGATGCATTCATTTTGTTTTAAAATGAACTGGTGATAACTGTAAAACTTTATTGTCCTATCATTCGAAACTGACTTTTCTTCAGTTTTCTTTTATTTGGGATGATTGAAATATTTTCTTTATAATGTATACTCTTGGTTAGAAAACTGATTATACTATATATTTTTTTAAAGCTGTTGCTTTTTTGAATAATCATTTTGTTCTGTCCTCTGCCTCGATTTGCTATAGAATGTCTTTCAATCTCCCTTGGCCAGACAGATCATGTACAGAGCGGTAAGCCAATGAGTAGAGCAGCTGTATCGAACCATACTTTTCCTTTAGCATGCCTCATGCCACCTGTAGGCCTTCTGCTGTCTTGGCTAAAATTTTATCAGCTATTTCAAATGCTGAACTTTTCTCATTCTGCTTTTAGGAGTGTGTCATACTGATTGATCTTTTTTTCTTTTTGTATTTTGCTTTATCATTTAGATTTTTTTTTTCCTTGCATGCTTCTTTATATCTCCCATGCTTCAGATGAAAATCAACTTCATTCAAACCGAAGAATCTCATCAAAGCTGCAGTTTTTATTGTGAGACAGGGGAAGGTGAAACAAAGTATGCATGTAGTCAAGAGTTGGCAGGATGTTAGCTTTGAAGATCATATACTCATATCTCCTGCTCTAACAGGAGAGAAAATTACAGCACCTAAAAGCAGGGACAGTTCATGGTTCTAAATTTTTGTTAATGTACATTATGTAATTTTATGATATTTTTAGGTTTTTCTTAATAAGATAGAGGTGCTTAAGTTGGCGAGTTAACATATATAAAACTATTTCAGGGCCGGCCCGGTGGCGCACTGGAGAGTGTGCCGCTTGGGAGCGTGGCTGCGCTCCCGCCGAGGGTTTGGATCCCATGTGGAGACCGGTTCCCGCTCACTGGCTGAGCGCGGTGCGGG